TTGAATTAGTGACTCACTTTTTGTTTCTCAATTAGTAAAATTCTACTAATTATTAGTAACTTTTACTAACAATTAGTAAAATTTTACTAATTCAGAAGCAAAAAGTGAGTCACTAATTCAAATTAGTAAACATTTTTACTAATTCAGATTTAGAGAGCACATGAGACCTAGTGATATTTTTTTTCGTGGCGAATTGAAAATTATGAAATCATTCATTAAAGAAAATTTCTATTCGGCTAAGTTTTTATTTTAAAAACATTCTACTTATAAGTTACTTTTTATTAGTAAGAGAATTTCTATTTCACCGAAACTCCATTTGTCCGAATTGACATTTGAAAGAAATTTTAAAACGTCAAATTTTCATTTCATAGAATTTTACATATTCGATTATGGACAAAATATTTCAGAGGAAGTTTTATAATCCACCGCAATAAAAAATTATCAAGAAAATTGTGATTGGTTGATTTTAAAACTGCCGTTGAAGTGTTTCTATCAAGTGTATGATCGGATATGTAAAAGTTCTCTCAAATGGAAATTTGACATTTTAAGGCCTTGAGATTGTTGTAATTTTACATGCAAATATTCTCCATAGACTTTCTCGCAAAATACTTGACCGATTGAGCTGAAATAAAATTTAATATTTTGTCAAAAAATTTATTTTTAAAAAATTGCATAGGATCAGTTGGGGTAAATGGGGACAAGAGGTTTTAGAGCTTAATTTACAATCTTAAAATGAAGTTCTACGTCAATATTTTAACCTCAGATCACCTGCAAGAGGTTTTGAGTATTGCCAAGCTTTTATGTTGACAATTGGCAGCAAGATAAAAAAAGTTATCGCTCAATGCATAAAAACTTGAAAATCAAAGTCAAACTTTTTCAGTATTTTGTCGAGCATTTCAAAGAAAACAGACTTAAAAATCATACCAAATTTTTTTCTTATTCCTTATGACTCCTATAACAGAAATTCACTTGAATTTTGTCAATTTGGTTAATAATGACAAGCTGTCCCCATTTACCCTGAGTTTTAAAATGTTTTGGGTAAATGGGGACAGCTTGTCATTATTAACCAAATTAACAAAAATAAAAAATTCAAGTGAATTTCTGTTATGGGAGTCATAAGGAATAAGACCAAAAATTTGGTATGATTTTTAAATCTGTTTTTTTTCAAATGCGAGACAAAATACAGAAATAAAAAAAATAAAAAAAATAAAAAAATTTCAATTGGTTCAATATATCTACTACAAATTTTTTTCAAGTTTTTTCATCCCTTAATACAGTAATATACTTAGGGAAACTTTTTTCTTAAAACTTTCTGAGAAACTATGCTGTCCCCATTTACCCCAAATTTTATGAAATTTTCTAAATTTTAGGGTAAATGGGGACAGTCAGTTTCATGCGTTTAAAGCGTATCTATATTTTTTTCTGATGCATAAAATTAATCTTGGGAATGTAAATAACAACTTAAAAAAAATAAACCCGCAATTATTACCTTTTAAAGGAAGAAACTTACGTAATTTGTGAAAAATAGCGATTTAACTTAAATAAAAAAAAGACATTTTCTTTAATAAAATTTTGTTTAATAAGAATAAAATTCTATTAAACAAAAATAATTTTTTATAAAAATTTTGCTGGACTTAAATTCTGTTAAATGGAAATTGTATTATATGAGAATTGAATGTATATTTAAAAATCTGCTATACCCACAAAAGTTAAATTAAATCGGAATTTAGTTAAATAGAAATTCTTCGATATGAAAACTATATAGGTTGATTATAAAATCCACTTTTAAAAATTCTGCTAAATAAAAATTCGATACCATAAAAATTCCGATATTAATGCGTCCCAGTTTTATATTAATTATTGATTTAATTCCAGAATTTAATATTAATTTTTAAAGTAAACTTTCAGAAATTTCTATTCTAAAAATTATATAAAAATAAAGTAGGTACCTATTGAAGAGTAATAATAGTATAATAAGTTAATTAATTTTGTAATTAACTATATGAATTGAGTGTTGTTAGTATGGAGACCAAAGTTCGCTTTTGAATATGTCACATATTATTAATCGATTTCCCGTTTGAGGAGAAAAGAGATCAACCAATGAACATGAAACATTTACTGTTGATAGAGATCTTAAATCGATTTTGATTTACATGCAAAAACACTTGGTATCTTCGATAAGCTTAATTGAGTTGCATCTTTTAATTAACACCAATGTATATTGATCAGTATCGATCATTTGCCTTTTTTATTTTTCATATCTATAAATCTAGATTCGGAATAATTTTATACAGATTTTCACCACCTATTTAGAGCATATATGTGATAAAAACGATAATTTTTAATTTATTATTACTCTTCGGGAAATATTTTTTTAAAACTTGAATATGTAAATTATTTAAAAGTTATTGAGAATAGTTATTTTTTTTCGAATAAATGATAATATACATACTTTTTTAATCGACTATTATTGTAAACGAATGAAGAAGAAAAAAAATAGTGGGTGTGTTAAAATTTTTTTTTCTTAATGTTGCACCGGATGGGGTATAAGACAAATTGCAGGCCTTCTACTGCCGTATAACAAGCTCGGAATTCTAAACGGTTTGATGCACCGTGTCGTCCTTGCAAGAAACACGACGTTTTAATTACTCGATAACGGTAGGGAGCTATATATAAGAGGTTCTCAAACCCAGGAATCGATTTCGATAAGGTCTCCTAAAACTTGAGCTCCATCATCCACAATCTTATTTACATGAGTAATATTTTATTGACATTTGCAAATTAATCAATTTCTTTCATTGTATGATTTATTTTTTAATTTTATTTAATTATATTTAATATTGATTAAAGTTTTGTATTGGCTTTTTTGTTTAAGGGTTAATGTAAATCATCTTAGATCTCTTAATCTTTTCTGTCCCACAGGTTCATTGCTAAGAGTAGAAATATTTCTTTTGGAATTATGTTAACAATTATTTTAACTTCTGGTGAAAAATTATTATTATTATCGTTTTTCAAATATCAGTCATAATCCCGAAAAGTTAATGAACAATCTTAGTTTTCATTTTTTTTTTTATTTCATTGGATAAGTAGCCTGCCTCGAATAAATTGACCTGTAGATGCTGCATACCGACTTGCAAATTTAGTGCAACTTTTTATGGTAGGTGTCACTGCAAGACTTGAAGTGTATACATTATTCTTGTTTTGCGAAAAAGAAATTCGAATTTAGACATTGCACACTTAAAGCTCTACTTAACCCTAGAAAGCCTAATATTTATAGGGGATTTCACTATATGTGAAGTGATCAAATGGGAAAAATGGTTCTTTTCTTGTAATTTTTTTCTCTTTTTTTTCTCTTAAATATCAAAATAAAATTTTTTTTATCAATATCAGTTTCGAAAGATTTTTTATGCTCTTTCGATTGGTAATATGCATTTTAGAAAAAAAAGTTTCTTGACCAAAAAAAATTAAACTCAAAATTAAAATTTGACTTCTTCGGGGTGAAAGGTATACGTTTTTTTTTTTTTTTTTTAATCGAAAGCTGAAGTTTTTTCCTACAAAAATATGCAGTTGAAAAAATGGAACAAGAATATTTAAATATTGAAAAATAGTAAAAAAATAATTTAACTGATATTGATAAAAAAAAGTTTTATTTTGCTATTTAAGAAAAAAAAAATTATTAAAACATGCAGTGTACCGTAAAATTCCAAAACTTTCATCCCCTCCCCTTCGGAAAACATTGGACTAAATAAAAATATATTTTTACTAAAAATTAACATCTACTACAAATTTTTTTTTACCTTGATCACTTCACCTGGAATCCCCCATATGTATAAATGGTTCATATTTAAAAACCTAACTGGGGTAGAAAACTACCCCAAAATTATTTTTTCTTTGCTAAAACATTTGTTTATAATACAAAATAACTTTATTATGTAGTATTTACTTCGTTTTATAACAAGGGAGAAAAAAGCATTTTTGTTTTTTGATTGTATCAAAAAGCTGATCAGAAAATTGGAACACCAAAAAAAAACTCAAAATTTTAGAAAAATACCTTTCATAAAAAATAGTATATCTTTTTTTAAAAAAATTCTAGTGAATTTTGTGAAGTTGAATAGGTGTATCTAAAACAGTTTTAAGATTTGAAAAAAGTAAAATTATTTAAACACTTGAACTTTAATAATTGACAAAGATATTGATGAATAGAAAGAATCCCCAAAAAAGGAACAGTACTTGATTAATTTTTATTATTTAAAAAATAGCCTCAACTTCTATGACTTGAAAATCAAAATGAATAAAATCAAACCTTTAAACTGTTAGGTGCTAAAAAATTATGCTTGAGGCGCTCTCACACCTTTTTGGCTGCCTGCAGGTTACCATGGCAACGCATGAAAGTGAGTGCGACAGAAATTTTCAAATTTGAATATTCAAATTTTCTGTCTCACTCACACCCTTGCGTTGCCATGGTAACCTGCGCAGTCAAGCAGGCAGCCAAAAAGTTGTGAGTGCGCCATTAATTCCTGGTTTATTCAATCGCTATTCCTTTTTTGTATTTTCCCTATGATTTCTGATCCCAATATTTTCATCGACATTATAAAATTTAAGGAATTTTAAACTTTTAAATCAAATTGTCATAGTTTTTTATAAGCTATTGAATTTTCTATTCTACTTTAAAAAAAAGTAATAAACGAAAAATATTTAGATAGCGATCTGAGAGACCGTTTAATTTTCATTTCAAATATCAGTTCAACGAAAATTTGTTTATTAACAAAAAAAGAATAAAATTGTTGAAAAGAATAAAATTTTAATGTAACAAAAAATATTGTATCAATGTACTTTTTACTGTACACCTAATTTATCAAGAAAGTGCAATAAAGAACAAATAATATTATTTATTTTAATTAAAGAAATTAGCACATTACTTTTTATTTAAATGTATATCAATTTATTATTAACAGGCATGTCAGGATGGGAATAATAATTATCAAAATAAAACTAACGAGTTATGGTATGATTTATTATCATTTAATTTATTTTAAGTTAAAACCTTTTTTACAATAATATCTTACATACATTTTTACACCATTTATGCTTCCGCGCGATTTTGAACGCCTGATGTGTACTTAGCAAAGTGTGTATAGCAAATTGATCGTATGGTCGCAGCAAAATGACAGTTTCTTTATTAAATCTGTTTGTTTTTTTATTCACTTTCTTTCGTGCCTCATGAAAAAGGACAATATCGCACAGGCTCTACGCGCTACATCCTAATAATACTATTTTAATAGATACAATTCTTTTTCACGTATGTATATGCGGGCTTAAATGTCGACAAAACACCTACGTGCGTCTCTCTCACCTCGAATTTGCGATTTTCAAAAATCCCCCGCTCTCTCATTCCCCTTTATTCATTCGTATTTATCAGTCTTTTAGAAAATCGCATCAAAGTGCAACAGGATGACGCGCCGTAAAATCCATCATAATTACACTAGAACGAGTTAACTTCTAGAAATCGAAAATCACAATGCGGTACTCAACGCAACGGAGAGTTTTACAGTGTTTTATATATATATATTTTTTTTTTATTTATATATATTTATATGTTCAATGACGTATTTTTATCGATATATTCTCTCATCATCTTAATACTTTTGACTATCTATGTAAAACGTTATGTGATTAAAACACTATAGTAATTTTTTTTTATGCACAGTCGCCATTCGCAGCGCGAAAATTTTTTCGCAATCGCTATCTGACCAACACTTGTAATTGTTATAATTACTAATAACACGATACACAATCTCGAAGATACAAAATTTACAATTCTCCGCGCGCCTCTCGGTTCGTGGCTTTGACTATTTTTTTTCCTATTCATTTAATTTATCCTTTCGTTATTTGAGCTACTTTTTTGTCCCAGTCAACAATCGCCACAACGCTGTCATATCTTCATCGCTTGCCGAAAATTACAAACACACATTTGGCGACAGCATTGGGATTCCTTTCTCAAAAGAAAATTCTCCATCTCTCCGAAAATCATTTAAATTAATAATTGTCACAAATTAAAATTTGTCTAAATTTATAAATAAACTTTTCTTCTTGATGAAAAATACAGAGATTTCACATTTAAAGAAATCTTTTTATCTTCACATTGATAAATAAAATTTAAAGGAGAATTTTCTAATGGCGCGCACTGGGAACCATTATGATTTACAAGGATAATATCTTTTTTTTTATCACTAACCATTACAACACACAAAACAACAGTGACACGATCGGACAATTATATTGATAAAAAGTTTGTAAAATTTTAAATATTACTCAATATTTTTTTTTAAAAGCTTCATTAAAATTCAAAATAATTTCTTTTGCACAGCCTCCTGAAAGAATTGATACTTTTAGAATATTTTGAATTGAGAGAGTCGACGCGCGAGAGCGTCCGATCGAGCGCACTTGGAAAAAATTTATTATCTTAAATTGCACGATACCTTCGATTAACTAAGCTTCCTCGTTCACGTCAGCGGCTCACTTTTAAAGACGCGTCTCGATTGTCAAAAATATATTAGTCAATTGACCAATCGTTGGGTTTCATCCCCCTAACAATTATTTTCAACAATCGTTTACACCGCGAAAAAAATCCTCTCGTTTCATTTTAAAAAATTTCTGTCAATATTTGAAATCTAATTTATTGATTGAAACAATCAAAAAATTTTTAACTGATGAAATATATCATTTTTTTTCTAATTTGATATTTTATAATTTATTCCCTCAGAGAAAAGTTTATTTGAAACAACCAAATAAACTCCATATATTTATAATAAGGAATCAAATTTTTATTGAAATTAAATAAAAAAAATTTAATTGCATGTACACTAAAGTTATGTGTAAATAAGTAATAAATAATTAATAGTTAAGTTAAATTAAATAAACATTTTGCCTGAGAGATTAGAGTTTACTTTGAAGACATAAAAAATGAGCGGATTTTCTCTAATATAAATACCCGCAGACGTGACGATCTCGCACAACGCGAATGCGTTTTAATATAATTATATTATTAATAATATATATTTATATATTTATATATAGCATTATATATACACAATATAAGACTCGATACAAGTATGACTTCTTTTGTACTTGGGGCCGGGGCGCAATGGCCCTAAATATTAATTTTATCTTACATATTTACAAAACATTCGCTCATCTATTACATATGTCTTCTATAGTTTATTTAGATGTATTCTCCCGATAATTTCTCTTATCGGACCAACGAGAAAAAGGTTCTTTTTTTTAAACAAAAAAAAGTGGAGTGGGTTTCGCCCAAAAACTTATTTAATGCTAATCAACGGTCTCCATTCATGTATATTCCGATCTCCAGCCACTCTGTAACAGAAAGAAAATAATATTTTTATTCCTGGAATCATTTTTTGTTTATTCATAAAAAAAATTATTATGTAAAAATTTTCACATTTGGGTTTTTTATATATCTTCATGTGTTTTAATATCAAGATTTCAAAATATATAAAAACGAATTTTTAATTCAAATCTTTTTTTCTTTTTTGTATTTTTGACCACTACTTTAGCCTTAAGGGGAGGCACCACCTTTATCTTGAGTCCCTTAAAATTTTAATGATGGCAGGAAGTTATATTTTTTTCTTGCATCATTTGGGTCCTAAAAACATTCAGAATGGCCAAGAAAACAAAATTTTAATTTTTGACCATTTTAGAATTTTTATTTTTTGAAAAAATTAAAATTTTGAAAAATCCATACGAGAGATTCTGAAGAATCATTAAAAAACCCAAATGATGGAACATAAATTTATTGTGAACCTGATCAACTGATTTGAATTAAGAATTAAAAAGTTATTGATGTTTTAAAAATCGAAAATTTTGTAAAACGCATTTTTTTGTACTTTTGGGTGAAAATTTTCTATGTTTAAATATATAAGAATTTAACAGTTGGTCAAATAATAAATGTGATGAAAATTATCAATAAATCCAAGTTTTTAATTTTCCTAGCACCTCCGACGGTTTTGTGGCCGTGTCCGTTTTTTCAGTTCGCACATTTTATAATTTACCTTTTTAATTTTAATTTCTATCTTCATATTTTGAAAATAAATTTCAATTTTTATATCAATTTCTGAGATTTTTCATATATTTTTCAATACGAAACGACGTATTAAAAATTTTATTAAAAAAAATTAATAAAGATTATAAATATGCTTTTATTTTTATTAAATACTTCAAAATAAGCTCTCGTTATTTATTTCAGCCAATCAGATGATTTCAACTCAATAGGGTTATGTTCGTTTCCGAAACTTGACAGCTGCTAACGTGAGACCAGGTGAGACATATTTTTGTAAACTAAAAAAACTTATGGGGAGTTTTAGTGATTATTAAAATTTATTTTCATTTCTGTAAAATAGTCATTAATTTTTTCCATGTAAAATTTAAATATTTTCAATGTTTATGAGTTTTTTCATCTCTTTATTATTGCAGGTGTTCAATTCGAGATTTTCGATATATGATATGAAGAGCTCGACGGAATAACGATATATGGCACAATTGAAAAGTTTGGTTATGGGCTTTCAAAAAACATAAATTTTCATTAAATTGATAACAATTGTAAGCTAATTATTATTACTAATAGAATTAGTAATAGTTACTAAGCGTGTAATAAATAACAGTTTACATATACTTATTACCAATTTTATGAAAATTTACGTTTTTTGAAAGCTCATAACCAAACTTTTCAATTGTGCCATAGATCGTTATTCCGTGAAGCTCTTCATTGATAACAAACCAAAATTTTCAACAGTCAATAAATGAAACTATTTGTTTACGTCATTTATCTTCCAATTCATGGATTGAATTTAAATTTCTCTAAAAGTAGAATCTGTTTTTTTGGTTGGGGTGTGCTTGTGAGAACGGATTATTGAGAGGCGCCAGTTGTACAAGCTGTTTTGAATAATTTTGATGAAAGATTAGAAAATCGACTCACCATAGCGTTCGTCGTGGCTGCTAATTGAAGACCCTGAAGACTCGTCATGTGATGAGAATGAGAATGTGAATGCGAGTGAGGATGAATCGAAGGTGGCGCCGGCGGTGCAAATCCTTGATGAAGACCGCCGGGTACACCGACTCCCGGGTGGTACATATAATGCTGCATTGGATGCATTGGATGATGATGTTGCGATGAACCTGAAATCACAGAAATCAAAACATTGTAAAAAAACAAATTTTCTATGGTGTAGAAAAAGAAAAGTATAAAAATACATGCTAAAATATAAATAATTTTAATGCAATTACTAGAGGATATAAAAGACATTTTAGAAATTTAAATTTATTTTGAAAACTTCTATAGAATTAAAATACAAGAAATTGATTCAGGATTTTATATAGAAAATGAATTAATTTAAAAACATAATATACTAATTTAGAAACTTACCCATTGGAGAACCAAATCCAGAATGAAACGGTTTGTTATCGAGATCAAGATGCCCACTGGCTTTGATCATGTCTCCCATGACACCACCCAGTCCCAAACAGCCTCCAGCCTTCTTTTTTTTGCTTTTCGAAGACAACTTCCGATTCCTGGTTTGAATTCCCTCTTTCTTCATCGTTAGTGGTCGATTGACCTGCAACAATAATAAAAAAGAATTTATTATTACATCGTTTTTAGAAATACCTATATATAATATTTTTTATTCTTTGCTTTTCCCTTTTCATTTATTGGTGACAAAAACTGAAAAGGTTGAGTCTTAGTTTTAAAAATAACGCGAGACAGCAGGCAGGAACTTATCGGTCGGATCATCTGGTGGTTAAGGGTTAACGTCCCGTCGCATTCTTGAAAATCAACCCAAGAGTTGCGGCAATTAAGACGATCTGACGATCGCTCGCGCCAACTTTGAATTTCGAATAGCGGCCGCCTTCTTCTACTGTATTCGGTGCGAAAAATTCAAATTCTTATTCATTAACACACCCCCATACATCATCTTCATCTCTCAGATTCCTTACATCTCACTCAATTATTTTTCATCAGCTTCACATATATCTCTGACCTTCATCAGTCCCGACAATTTTGTCTTCCAATTATCATATTTGAGAATTCGATTACTATTTTCAATTTTTCCCCTTGAGGTGCATTATACAGAAGAGAAAAAAAAAGTGGAAGAGAATGGAAAAATGAGGTGCGGGTAAGGATCACGGGCGCCGGGGGAATGGGAACCTGAAGAAAAATCAGCCAAGGACGCAAGTGGTGCAGGAATTATTGCTGGAACAATGCGCTGACGCAACTTCGTGTAACTTGCTGAGCAATAACGCCAAAGACGTTACTTACTCGGATGGTAGACACGGTGCAACTCGTGTCGAGGGAGCGTATATATGCATTCGCGGGTCGTCCCATAAATCGTTCGCATAATCGATGGCACGTTGTTTCACTCTTAGTCGAGAGAGACGTACCTCGTTGGAATAAATATATATATATATATATAGCTTCAATGAATTGTTTTCATCAAACACAACACTTGTGGCGATTAACATTTTTAATTGGGACGCGTAATCCATTTTTTAATCAGGGTCAATGAAACAATTCTTTTTTCTACAATAGAAACTATATCTCGCCATCAAGAAAACCATCAGACACAATGGAATTGAAAATTGTATTGTATTCTTCAAAATTTATTGGATTTTAAATAAATCTATTAATCAAAGTGATTCTTTAGAAAAGGGATTTTAATTATCTTCAAGCAAACTTGTTTTTCTTTCGCAAACTTTTTATCTTTTAATACCCAAATTTCAAAGAGAAGGGAAAAATTTTCTTAAATTATATTATAATGAACGCGAGTCGTATATGTCTATAATTCCATTCCCGAGATTACTATAACGTTTCTCTAGTTCATTAACGCGCGAGAGAACAGGACGCTAATTGCAATCGTTTCAGCACGTTTCAGCAAAGCGGACAATAGCGTCGACTCGTGCGAGTGTGTATAACCAGACAACGCAATTAAGAAATCCCTCAGATTCTCGGTAGTCTGCTCATTCTGCGGTTGCGAGCGCGCGCAATTATAATTAACGAATCGACAGCCCTCGCTCAATTCGAGAGCTGTATCATCATATATATACTCAAGACGTGTGTATCATGCAAGCCATATGTGGATAATATTCCACACATCGTAATCTTCAAATTCTTCATGCAAATCTCCAACAATAACGATCCTAACATCCTCCATATCACCATCAAACATATATATATATATATATATATGAAATATTCATTTCTCTTTTCCACGATTTCACTTTTAATTATCCGTATTTTTTTCCACTTATTTGCAAAATCGTTTTATTTATGGGGAATTACTTTTATCATAACTTAAGATGTGGACTTTGTTTCTTTTATTCCCTGATTTAGTCAATATCAGGTTATTGATAAACATCATTAAACCAACATGATTCCCAACTGTTTGATAATTTTTTTTTTTCAAAAAGTTCGTTACAGTATCTGAAAGTACCATTTTTCCCTTGAAAATGCATTTTGAAACTTTAGAAAATCTTTATTTGGCTCTGAATTATCGTCATTTGAATTTTCTGAGTTTGATGAATTTTTCAATATTCATCATTAAGATATATCGCTCGTCTATTTTTGACTAAATGTTTAGTTATTATAATCCCGTTATCACCGTCTGGATAAATTTAATCTTCTGAGAGGTTAAAGGCTGTAGATATATTCTACGTCTGCGCAGGATGTTTGCTTCTGCGCAGACGCAGAACTGCCTTTAACCTCTCGGAAGATTAAATTTATCCACACGGTGCAAACGGGCTGTATAGCGAAAAAATTCTTATAGATAGTACTTTTTCTCCGTGTATTGAATTAATAATTGTTACGCCTTTTGTCAGAAAAGCATATTTTCCTCATATATAAAAATATGTCTATAAGCAAAATAGAAAAGAAGTATATAGAAAAAAAAGTTTGCTCGTTTATTAATCCTTTGTTTGTTTCAAGTCTGTAACAGCAGGCAGGACCGTATACAGATATAGAATGTAGAGAAGGAGAGTTTTTGACGTTCGAGTGAGTGAGTGCCTTGTACAATACTTAAGTACAAAATAAGTAGGTATGCAAGTATTGTGTGGCAAACGGGGAGTTGGCGGGACTTTGTAGTCGCCGCGACGTGACGCAACTGACAACTCGCGAGAAAAAATTCCCGGTATTATAAGGAGTATCTTCTCGTCCTTTATACCCTCTCTTACTCCTCTTCCGCATATTCTATACCCTCTTCATCTTCATCGGACATTAAAATTTGTCTCATATTTCTTTCAACCGATTGGCAAGAGTTTCTTTACCCTTTCGAAAATCAAACAAATCCGCAACATATGTGACAATTTGTACCTATATTTATTATTGTATAGAAAGTAACAAACATCGATTTTTCAATTTCTTTCTGAATTTATTTAAACTTAATTTTTCGTTATCCTCAGTGTCTAGACGGTCAATGACTCTTTTTCGGAATTGGCCAAATTTTGTCAAATTAGTGGCGGCCTCCTCAAACGAAGGGTCTGTAAAGGGTCTGCGATTCAGGAAATATTAATATAATTCCCTCTCGTCAACCGATAGAAGTCATGTTTGAAAATTAGCCAAATTGTACAAAAGTGAATATAGTCAGAATTAAAAGTTGCATTTGATTTATTGTACGATTTTAAAAAGAAAAAAGTAAAACTTGAGAAATTAGCGAGTTTGGAAGGTTGCAGGTATAAATTGGAATTCGAGATGGGAATAGTTGGGACAATGGGAGCAATAATAAGCGATGAGACTCTAATGAGGGAAGCTTCGGTTTCCGCGAGATGGACGCTGTTTGCTCGGACCGATTTGAATACAATAAGGCGGCTTTAATAGGAACCATCGCTTAAGTCTGCTGGTGTCCGAAAGTGCGAAGTGCAAACAAAAGAGATGAGAGAGTGCGAGTATCACCAACCAAAGAGGTCGACAGAGATGGAAGACGAGAGACGAAGACTTGGAGGAGTTTCGAATGCGGATTGATGTGGTCACACACGATGCAACCGCACGTCTCTTGCATACGAGATACGTTTACGCGGCTTACAGGGGTCAATGAATGAAAGATCGGATCGAAGAAATGGCGTTTTACATGGCCATGTCTGCTCGATTTTTTTTCTCAGTTCTTTCCCAATTTTCGCAAACATTCAATCAGATAAAAAGGACGAAACGTCTTTTTATTGGACTTTCTTTTCGCCCTTGATATTCTTGACTTTTCGAACGTTTTTAATTGACTGTTAAAAGTGGATCTACATAGGTTTTTCCGAATTACAATTTTGAAATTTAAATAAAGAAAAGATTGTCCGAATCTGAGAATTCAATGACGTATATAATAAAGCGCGAGTTGAATAACTTCGAGACAAGAATACTAATAAAGGCACCTTTAATGTCTCTTCTACGTATAGTGTGACTTTTACAACTTCCTCTCAGTATTAGCTTCCATTTTCACCATTTTTACACGAAGAAATGTATTTTCGAATGACTCACGAAATCTTTTTTTAATGACTCATGAATCTTATAGTCGGTAATTCGATCTGATGGTAAATTTGTCTGATTATTTACGTATGTATAAGAGGAGGCTTGCAAGATTTCGCAGGAAGATCAGTGAAGTGTAGAAAGTCCTAAAATTATGCGGCTTATCGACCAATCAGAGCATGAATATATACGGTTCCCAGTAGCGCTATATTTACTGGTTGCCCCAGCCCACGATTGAGATCATATCGGCGTGGACAGGGCACCTCTGTTCCCTCAAGATATCCCCCAGAATCATCCTCCGGTTGTTCTTCGTCTTCCTAAAAATGGCTCCAAACAGTCTAAAAGGTCCCAATCCCCCAGAGGTCAGGATTATCCACAGAGATAATGATCCAAGATTTTTAGTCGTTTTTTTATATTCATATCTCAAAATCGCAGTTAAACATTTTTTTTTTTGCGACAAACAATTTGGCAAGACTCAAATCCATCATATATGCAAAATGCCGTCGCGTGTAAAACTAGAAGGACTTAACTTTGATGCGTGAAGATCCATTTTACATGATAGGAATTTTATTTGAAGAGGAAACTATAAATAGCAACTCTTCAGGAATAAAATAATTAAAGTTAAAAGGAATGAAAAAAATAACATACAGAAGTTCCTAACTGGATCATTTTTCACATTAAAGATGAATTCAGATCTTTTTGCTGTGACTGGAGAGTGACCGTGACTAATAATTCCGTTTGAATATATGTGCAACATATACGAGAGAATTACTGAGAGGAACATTTCAGACAAACGTCCAGCTCAAAGTGTAATGTGTCGGCTTAATGCCAACGAGACGAGTCGTCTACGCGGGATTCTCGCATTTGCTATATACAACTTGTTTATGTGTATATATAAGGCCAGAGTTGGTAACAATGTAACCAACACCATTACAGGCTAAAGTGAGGCGCATGTGATCTCAAGTTTTGCACAGGTCGCGATCGGTAAATCGTCGACCTTCCTTCGATATCGTTTTTGACTAACAATCAAACAAGAAACGACGACAATGGAATTCTTATGTCAAGTTATTCCTTGACTGACAACTTCGTTATTTGGCAACAACGACCCGTCACGTTCCCATTACGTAATTGAATCACCTAAACCCAACCTAACCTCACATTCATCTCGACAAGCTAATAATTTTGCTCCGTTATGTTTAATTATCCTGTCAAACTTTAAATGCCACATTGTAAAAATAAAGAATATTTTCAGAATATTTACACTGTGTCACTTTTTAACATCGTTAATTTTATATGATATATTTTACGCCCTTGACCCGAACTGACAAATGTACATATAAGAATTAATGATCAGATATATACTTTGTTCTTGTACGAAAGTCCACCTCAGAATTTTATAGTTTGGGGACTCAGTTTTTAGTTTTTGGTCGCCCAACATCTTTTTTTGTCACTGTCACCTGTATACACAATTAGAATGGATGATGATAATTTCTACTCTGCAATTTAGAAAAAATACATCGGCTTGTTCCAAATGTTTTTATTTCCATCAAGGATTTTATTGCAGACGGTAAAACAGTCCGAGACATTATTCTTTGGCTTTACGACCCAACTTTTGGACCTTTCAGGAAGACGTCTGCATTTTTGTAAATTAAAGAATTCAAACTGTCGCACGAAACATACTCGCACGATGTGATTTATGTCATTTTCGGAAAAGATCAAGGGGATTTAAGGAATAATAATAATATTATTTTTATGACAAATTCCATTGTTTTTAAAATGCACAAATACAGTATACGTAATTCTCTAACAATTTTAAATTGGACAACTTTTTATTTTAAAATTAATTAAGTTATATCATAAATTCTTTGGTGAGAAACACACATAAAAAATGGTGAATAAAAAAATTTTTATTCACAAAAAACTGAATTTAAAGTTCAAAAAATGATGAGGTTTAGGAGTGGCCTAAAATGGTGGGATATGAAAACAATTTTTTCAGAGGATAGCGCGTCTCGTGTCGCGAGTATATCTAGCGACGGAACCCCTTGCTTAATTAATGATTACCAGGAAACGTGTCTCGTATAACTATACACTATGGGAGACTACTGTGTACGATCTTGTCCACTGGTCGAGCTGTGCACCCCCTTTATCCAGATCGAACTCGATAAACTCTATATACGTAACGACACATATATATAGGGATCGACGTAACGTTTCTTCGTCCCAAAGACTTTTGAGAAGGAAAAAAGTAACTAACAAAAAACCAGTATACCAGAAGAAGCAGAGAAAAGGAGAAGAACTAAAGCACTTGTGCTTCGGCAAGTTCGAGTCAATTAAGGTGCTTCATCGGCAAATTTTCTTATTTCTCAAATTGAAAAAATTTTGGCATGTATGAAATTATTCTACTTTTGATCAAATATATAGGATATCAAAGAATATCTCCAATTACATATTGCCTGACAAATTTTAGTCTCCAATTCTACTGACTCTCAAGAAACAAAATCAGTTATAAGAGGTTAGCTCTGGGGCTACAAAAACCTAAAAATGGGTATAAAATCTGTTTTTTGTGTTACAAGAAGTCCTTCAATTCTATTGACTCTAAAGAAACAAAATCAAAAAAGGAATCTTGTTAAAAGAGTTTCGGTCCTAATACGAAAATCTAAAAGTGAAAAAACATTTGTTTGGCTATAAAATCTGTTGTTTTTTTTTGTGTTCACAAGGGAATGAAGAAGATGTATAAGACTTTTTTTTCTGAACAAATAAAGAAAGTACATAAATGATGAATATTGCGTTTTTTGGCTTTAAATTGTGGCTTGATCTTGATAATATGAAGATGCAGGCGGACGAGATAAAATGACGGATAACGCTACGGGGAAAAAGTAGGGTAAATTTGAACGGGTGATTTGCACTCCGATTAGGCTCATTGAGCGACGCGTGCACTACGAGATGCGAACAAGTGGAGGCTTGTTTCGTGGGTTTCGCATGCAGCGAAGAAAACAGAAAGCCGCCTGTAACAAGACCATCAGGGAATCCAAAGTGACGAATATCCGCACACTGTAGAAAATGCTTATACTAATTAGCGCTATAAGGTCCGAACAATCATCTCCATACCAAAACCAATTCACGTTAATCTCCTAAGGATATGAGATTTACTTTTCTATACAAATACAAACTTTTATAGTTGAAATGTTAAGAAAATCGATATTTACATTAATTCAGTCTTGCAAATACAAACTTTGAGAATAAAAGAAGTTTTATTCGTAAAATTGAATACGGAAAAAATAGTACCGGTAATGGATACTCTTTCGATTTTGAATGCCGACGTAAAGTTGACAAACGACAAGCGACAATAGGTATGTCATTGCCCAAAAGCAACAGTCTATAACCCCACCTTCGAGGTTTTTAAGTATGATAAAAGTACGAATGCTGTATAATATACTCTAAAGCAAAAGGTCGAAGGTGGATACATTTCTAAAGTAGTTGGGTCGGTAACGAAATATCGGATTGCCATTGTCGTTGATCCCCAAAAGCCTATTGTCAATCTCCTCTTTAAAAGCCTAATTCGTATATGTCTTTTCTTAACCGATAAAAAAAACTCCCTTCAATGACAAAAATATTTGCAATCCCATTAATAATTTTATAAACTATAGTCATCTTTTTCATATTCTGCCGTGTTTTCAAGAAACATTGTTAAATAACGTAATAAAAGATAAATGATGATTTTTTTTGGCAGGAATGTCTAGGAAGTTGTTGGATGGGATAAAAACAAGTTGAATGAGGTCCTTGCGAATTGCCCTCTCTTGCAATGATATCCGTTTTCCTGGTTAGTCCCGCGGAACATCCCGAGGGAAAATAATGGGAGCAAAAACCTTTGGTTTGAGGGCCTCTCTCTGAGCTCACTTCCGGCGCTTCCTGTGTCACACGCAGTTGAGCACGCTCCACCCTTGAGTGGTTGCCTCACACATAAATGCCCAAATACAGCACAACAGAGGAATCGTGTTCCGGCAAACACGCCTGCCCTAATTGTCGGTACAACAGACTCTCAAGTGTCCCGTCTTATTGTCGCAAAATTCATGCCGTAAATTATTATCCCCTTGATTCTCTTTTCTTTTTCCCCCATCTTCCAAATTTCTGCTGACACTGGCAATTTTTTTTTCAATCTTTACACTTGTTTTCCCCTTATACATGAAAATTTATTTTACTTTTTAGTTAAGAATTTATTGTTACTTACGTTATGGAGTTTGTAGTATAAACCGCAAGCGTTGCAAACGGGCTCGCCGGCTTGGTTTCTTCGCCAAAGCGTCGTTGTTGCTGTTTTGCAGTTCGCACAACTTGTGCCAGCTCTACGGGCAGCACTTTGCAGGGACTGGAATTAAAAAAACGAAACAAATTAAAAAAAAATTTTAGAAATAACTTTTGTTCAACAGTAAAGATAAACGATTCAATCGGCTATTTCAAAAGAAATGCTTTAATAGCTTTTGAAAAGAAACCTCTCGATCGATCGGAGATTTTAGGGATTAAAAAAAGGTGATGCGTTTTTCTCGACTAGAATCTAATCCTTCCACACTAAGAGTCTAGGACCTTTTAGTGTACCGAGGAATGGTCTTGACACCTGTGCCTTCGAGAGTGGCAAACACTTAACTAAAAAGGTCTATTATCCCTTCTGCGGGATAACTGTAGCTTATTTAGCATCATCTCCCATACCTTTCTCTCTCACTAAAAAAAAAAAATCAGATTGATCTTTCCATCATTTTCCGAAACAATCGCTACTATCACATTCTAAAATCTAATATTCATGAGATTGTATGTTACTGTGAGAATTCATTGTTTTATTAATAGAATAAATAATTCCATTCAATTGGAAATTTATTAGAATAAATGTCAAAATTTTAAAAATAAATGTTTTAAAAGTAAGTTTAAAAAAAAGTTTTAAAAAAGTAAGTTGTGTGTATATAAACGAATCGACCTCCTCGTGTGCCACAAAACGAACATGTATATAGGTATCCCTCTCGCACGATTACCTATATAATAGGGTATCCTCGACCAGCCTCTTTTCTCCTTCTTTTGGACCACTTAACCTCTAAGATGACACAGTACATTTGAACCGAAACCATTTCGACGCAAGACATACTATATACCTGCCATTGTCGGGCACCGTCGGAACTCCGACGAACTCCCGTAGCATAATGGAGAAGTTATTGAAAATTTCTTTTGTACTCCCTTGGGGACAAAATTACGCTTTTTGTCCTCTCGATATATGTACACAATAAAGCTTCGATATACACGACGAGGAGAAACTTTCCTTTCGGTATGTCGATTTCTCGAGGATTTCACTATTTTGACAATCACGCTTTTTGTCCAAAAATCTTGATCCTATTAAATGAGAATTGAATTCGAGTGAAATGCCAATGAACTTTTAACGTTTTTTTTTTAAGTTTACTTATTTTTATTCAATTTTTTATCATTTTTAGATTTATAGTTTTTATACTATTATGCAAGAAAAAAGAATTATTAAAATTACCTTAAGGATTGTAAAATTTGACAAAATTTTTTGTGTCAACTATAAGATAACACTCTACTGTTAGATTATTATCTACAGCATGCCAAAATAACCATCTTTATACTCCAAAAAAGTTAATTTTATGTTTATAGTTTGTAAAGCTTTTAATAATTTTTATAATTCTTATTTGCTAAATTTTAAAAATTACGTTGAAACCATTTTGTCTATTGTTTGTTCGGCTATTTGCAACCTGGGACAAATAAAAATTTGTCGTTTTAAGAATTTTGCCAAAAATTCGCTTACCTAAGAATTTGTTTAATGTTTAAAAAAGGTAATTATCATTCATATAATAAGGCCGACCTTTGGTTAAAAAGGACCTTGGCTTTTTGTCCAAAGACGTCCCTGGTATATAAATATATAATTTTTAATGAAAGAAAATATACATAGTGCGCCTTATAATAAAAAAAATGATACAATCTTTAAAAACGTCATGATAATGGAATAAAAAATAACACGAAGGAAATGAAAAAAAGAATTTTTTATGAAAGTGGTGAAGATTAATTGAAAGGAAAAAGGATTGGTGAGAATAGAAGTTGGGTGGTGGTTATACGATTGTACAGGTCCGGCATAAGAGGTGGTGTGTAATCATGCCTTATCGGCCGGATCTTATCAACTCTTGCGCTTCATAAAAGGGGTCTGAGTATAAGGGGGTGAGAGTAAGGTACCACGTCGACCCTTATATATACCAGAATCAATACGCGCCACCTCATCAATACAACGCGGGGGTTGCTATATCTGCTCTAGATCTTTGACACCCTGGCAAATACTCGACCTAACCTCCCACGATGTTGCTTAATGGTTATTAAATGAGGACAGGCAAATATTTTATATAAAACATTCAAAGTTTATTTTTGTGTCTTATGAAAAAGTTTCTTTGTCATTTTCCATACAATTTTATTTCTTTTCTTCTTTTTAGAACACTTTGGCTGTTTTCATAGCGAAGGGTAGTAGCTAGTAAGGTTAAATTAGCGTCTGCGCAAAATAGTAAAAAATGCGATTGATTGGATGATCTTCGTGTGTTTCTGCGCAGTAGCGAATTTATCCATTTCCTACTTTATCTTCGGCGATGAAAAAAGAAGTTGAATATTTTTTTGCAATTTAGAAATTTGAATTCAGTAAATGAGAATTGAATTTGAAACGCGTGAGAACTAAACATGATTATATATCTAAACTTTCTAAATCTGTAAATTTTGAATAAAAAATTCATTTTGTTTTGCATTAGTTCAGTATTTTGTCTCTAAGTTCAATAATCGTGAGAAAAATTTGTGCGTTAAGTCAGTAAAAGAGGAACTAGCGGAGAATAATTGGTTTTATTTTAAGCATGGCTCAATAAAGTTAGGTCTGCAAAAAAGCATTTTCCAATGTATAAATTCAAGCCTGGTAACAATAAGTTGTAAATCTTGATACGGTGAATCGTTTCCCGGTAAATCTGTGTGTATATATATACATCATTGATCAAGAAGAGGGTCCAGGGAAAAACATAAAACAAGAAAAGAAGGGAAACGAAGAAAAAGAAAGTATATATAAGATTCGTTTGGAGCAGTCGGCAACAATACGGTCGATTCTCTCTCTTATGCAAACCAGAGTGGTCAACCAGGACATTTCGTACGCATTGCTGCATGATTAAAGTCTTGAAATTTGTAGGCGTATTAAGTCCTGTCCTCTTCTGTTTATAATCTCTAATTGAATAGAAACGGTATATCTCAATCAATGACGTGCTAATTCTAGAATAATATTGGACGAGCAGTTATTTCTTATGCAAATGGTTTGCCTATTTGCTTCTGAATTGGGTGCTATTGCTCGCTGGGTAATTGTACTTGATATGGACAATATTTATTCCGTGGAGAACCGGTTGTCGGAGCCAGACCTCCGAACGCTGACGGATATGACATTTCTCAAGTTCTTGGCGATCTCAACTCCCCCATTTTTTTCTAGTTGGCGTTTTTTTTTTATCTTGTCGCTGTCTTTCCATCCAGGCGTTTTTATATATTATCCCTCTACAGAAAAGAGAGAGAGACTATCTTTTTCCCTCAAAGTCTCTGATTGGTCTCCCGATTTCTTGCTCACTCTCGATCTGAATATCGGTCTCGATCTTAAACTCGACTATCCACCTCCCACGACTCATCGATCTTCTGATCGTGACTCTGATCGCGAGAAATTAGATTCAGTAGATACTTTCTTTTTAATTAAATTACTTTACATTTTTATGGAAATTAAATCTAATCGCTAACAATCTGGATGATATCACTCTTGCAAAATCAAAATGATTCCGTTTGTTCGTATTTGCATATGTAATTAAGACACTAGAAATACTGAGAAGCAATTGTCAGTGATAAAATTGCAAAGATAAAAAAAAACGAGACGCGCAATATTCTTTTGGATTGTATCACTGCGAGAAGATTGATGGATCATAGTTGCGAGTCCTAGTGGCAATTATAAATTAACCCGGCAGGAGTGATAGATAAATCGACCCAAGTGTCCACGTATTCTGCGAAATATACATGCGCGAACTACACACCTTCACGTTCGTGACCACCGGCATCGCTATGGCTACCGAAGTGGAACATGGTGTGTGATATAAGAGACCCACAGTCGAAGTAACAACCCCGTTATAACTCTCATATAAAATATCGTTCTGTGCAATTAGCTTCTCATTTCATTCCTATATATTTAATGCTCTACTCTATTTGCAAATGAACTTATAGACGGAAATTGTTCATTTCACCTTTCAAAAAATAATATGTATAAATTATCCTTCATTTTTTAAATTCCTTTATATGAATTCATTTTTTTAACACAGAAATATAGGTTTGCTGATTTAGCCATTACGTAAAGGGTGTTTGACACCCAGAGTATCCTCTGAGGATTACGGTTTTGTTAACTTTTAAAATAATTAATTTACTTTAGCTAGACATTTCATTATAATCCGCATATTTTTTTTTCTTGCATATGATTAACCGACTGTTGGATGGTGGGATGATTCTCTATAAATTGAGAGCAAGAGATTGGCACGCGGTTGCACAAGATGAAACGGACAAAAATGTATATTATAAAAAGACATAAAGCGCTCGTGGTTCATGGATAATCGAGTTGGGCTGGTCGCGGAGCGAAAGCCTGTTCGAGTCGATCAGTTCTCGTCGATCGAATCGATTTAATGCCCTTTTATCGAAAGTCATTGCGGGTAATTAATAACCAACGGCAATATGTGCGGCTGGATCAAGCGTGTATGTATATATATATATATATATATATTCCGTTCAACAAAATACAAGAACCAGAGCCAATATACCTCAATTTTTCAAATAAAAATTAGAAACATTTCTGGTTTTCCGAAAAGATAACGGATTTTCTGATCTAGTTTCAGTTATTGAGAAAAATCATAGCATTTTATTTAATCACATAAGAAAAACGTTGCTTCAAAACCGGATTACCGTTCAGCCTTGAACGATTTTTCAATGTTAATTACTGTCTATCGACAAGGAAGTGCTAATTAAAAACACCGTTTGGTTGAAACTCGTATGTGACAATCAACAATTATATCCGAACCAATATAAAGTTAGTTTATTCTTATAATTCTCATTATTATTTATTCTTTTGAATTGGATTCGTTTCTTGTAGAAGAACCATACATTTTTTTGTACCCCAAGGTACTGAAAATTATTGACATAAGGTTGGGGAAAAAAAAGTCTGCAAAATTGTCGCGAAAATTTTCCAAAGATGTTCTTCGACGGTGCAATAGCGACGCGAAGTAAACGAGCATTTACGAGCGAGGCCGAGATACGTATCTCTATATCCTTGACTAAATC